GTTAATCCATCTAATTAAAATTTCAATTCTGTGATTTCCATTGTTCCATTTTTATAGTTTCAACTATCTTCTGAAACTCCCCATCTCTTCATACACTGTATCAATTTTTTTCTATTAACTTTATTTTAAACCTTTTATTTGGAAATTATTATAGATTCCCAAAAAGTTGTGAAGATGGCACAGAGGGGCCCCATGTACCCCTCACCCAGGTTCTCCCATTGATTATATCTTACATAACTATGATATAATATCAAAACCAGGAAAATGACATGGGCATAAAGTGTGTATGGTTCTATGTAATTTTACTGCATATGTAAATTCAAAGCATTCCAATTAAGATACAGAACTCTTCCATTATTGCAAAGATCTCCCTCACACTATTTCTTTATAATCAGTCACACCCATCCCCACCATCACCAACTTCTGGCAACCACTGATCTGTTCTCCATCTCTATAATTTTGTTATTTCAAGAGTGCTATATAAATGGAATAATACAGTATTATAAACCTTTAAAACTTTTTTTTCACTCAACATAATGCCCTTGAGAGACATCCAAGTTTTTGCATGTAACAAGAGTTCATTTCTTTTTTTATTGGAATAGTACTCACAGTATGAATATACCACAGTTTGTTTAACCTATTGTAGGATATTTTGGTTGTTTCCAGTTTTGGGCTATTTCTTATGAACTTTTAAATACATTAATTATAGTTGTTTATACTAATTATGTTTTAGGCCAACATTTGAGACTTTTACACATATGTTTCTATTGACAAACTTTTTTTCTTGATGATCCCATTTTCCTATTTCTTCTCATGTCTAGTAAGTTTTTACTATATATTAGATATTTTAAACAATGCACCATAGAGACTCTAGATTCTGCTGTCTTCCCCAAAGAATGTTGAGTTGGGTTTGGTAGGCAGGTATATGCCTCACATATCACCCAGAATATGTGGAGACATAGTTTTATGTGTTATTAGGGTAAGCCTATTTTAGTTTTTCCCTTAACCCAAGGGGAAACCCTTATTCTTATGACTTAGCCTTTACTCCTAAGGTATAAGCCTTTTGAGATTTTTAAGGAAAGCCTAATGTTCTTACCACCCCCACACTCCCCAATAGGCTGGACTCAAACTCCAAACTCTGACTTTTATATGGTGGACAGCAACTAAAATTTCTGTTCATTTTTCTTTCCCCCAGCTTCTAGCTATTTTTTCTTTCTGAGCTCCTTGGTATTTAACCTGTACATTTGTAACTCAGGGATCAACCTGGGGAAGTTTACACTCAGATGATGAGTTTCTTTTTTGGCTCACTTCTGAAATTTCCAGGAACTCTGGAAGAATCAAACTCCATGATCTGACTCCTCAGGCCAATACAACTGCAGTTTCTGATGAAGTTTTGCGGGCCTGACATCCCTTAGACTGGGACATGGCTTCAGGGGAAAAGCTGCATAAACATGGATTTCACTCAGTGTGGTTTCTTTCTTTTGAAGGTTGATTCTCTTTCAGTTTTTGCTTGTTTTGTTATTCTTGCATGTCTTAAAGCAGGTTTTTAAAAGTGTGTTTACAGTTTATTATTTCTATCAATAGGAGGATTAGCCTAATACAAAGTACTCTGTCTTGTTTTAATATGATTTGTTTTTGAATTTTGTTGTAATTATGTCTCTTTTTCTGTGGAAATCATTTGTGAAGTTTCTAGGCTAACTTTCCATGAATAAAAACATATTTTTAAAAAATCTCCTTTAAGCATTGTCTCCTGACAGTTGAGGAATTTCTCAATTCTTTCTCCTTTACTTCAAAATTTAAAAAGTCAGTTTATCAAAAATAAAATTTACTGATTTGAGAGCCAAGGAATTCCTACAACATTTAAGCCCAGTGTTACTCAAACAGCCTGCTTATGAAATAAAGGTCAGTCAAATGCGAACATTTTATGTATTTATTAGCCAGTCATGAAGTCCCCTTCAGGGCTTATACATCTAGATCTGACATGACACAAGCTTTCCTCCTGCCTTTATTCACCTTTATTATCTTAAAAAATTTATCTGATATCCTAGCGTGGAATCAAAACCTTAAAGTGTTTGCTTAATGTTTGTTTTACAGTCTTTTTGTTTTATCTGAATACATGGATTCCAGCTTGCTTGACCTTTCATTTTGATAGGGACAGGAGACAGAGACAGGAAAATTCTGGGAAGAAGAGGGTGTTTCCCTGGCAAAGGCCCCACCCTCACGCATAGAAACCCACAGCTCTAAATGGAACAGGGATTCCTGTTTTAGTGCCCAAATATTGCCTTTTGGCCCATCCTGTCTTGTACCCATATAAACCCCAAACCCCAGGCTCCATCAGGAAAAGAGCTAAGGAGCAAAAAACTGTCATAGCAGAGGAGAGAAGAGGAGTGTCTGAACATCGGGAGGAGTTTGACTGGGGATGGTCGAAGAGATTGGCTGTGGGATGGCGGAACTCCAGGGGAAGATTATCTTCCCACTCCAGCCCCTTTACAGCTCACCGTCCATCTCACTGAGAGCCACCTCCTTCTGGCAATAAGGTCCCCCACATTTATCATCCTTCGATTTGTCCGTATGTCCCGATTCTTCCTGGACTTTGGACAAGAACCTAGGTACCACAAAGGCACTGAGCTGGCTACGCTTAAGCTGTCTCCAGATGCAGAACTAAAGGAGCACTGTAAGGTACCTGTTGGGGCTTCGGAGTTGCAGGCACCCACCTCTAGATGCTACCAAGGGGTGAGAGCCCAAAAGTGCTTGCCCTGGCTCCCGCACCTGCCCGTCAGCATGCTCCCCCTCCCATAAGGAGTTTGAGTGTGAGGCAGCCCAACAGAGGAGCCACATCCCTGTCATATGTCTTGTGAGGGGGATCAGGGAACTCTCCTGTTTCAATTTAATTACTCTCTCTAGAGAATATTGCTTTTTACCAACGGAAGGGCCCTGCTTTCTTCAATATGCTTTCCTAAATTCTACTTATCTTTGAGTATCCATCCATTTCATGTCTTCTGAATTTTCCCACCACTGAACCTATTCCACTTTCTTTAGGTAGGGTTTTCCCTCATGACTTATAAATTAACACACATTCCAAGTTGTGCAGAGGATAAACTAGTATGTTTGGAAGGCAACTAAGATGAGGATGGGAATGGAAAAGAGGTGACCTCCCAAAAAACATTTGAAGCTGGTATGGTTACAATCGGACCATGAGAAGCTACTTTCTTTTCAGGTATACACCTCAAACTAACTGTCTTGTCTCATTTTACAATCACCTCATGTGAGTATAACCTTCTTTCACCATAAGATGAGAAGATTCTTGAGGGCGAATTATCATGTCTGCTTCTCTCCCCTTAGCTTAGCACTGAACATAGTGCCTCATACAAAGGTAGAAGTTTAAGTGATGTGTTCCTTTGAATTTTAACCACTTGGCTGAATCTCTAAGTTTCCTTTGCTAATTTTTCAAACAGTATTTGTCCAGACTTTTGTCCTACTGAGAGTATAACGACACACCCTGAAAACTTATAATTTGGCCTCTGCTTAATGATCGAACCACATTTCATACTACTTTGCTTTCTCCCTCACTACTATGCTCTTGCTCTATCAGTCTTCTCTCAGTTCTTAAACACACAGGAATTCCTGCCTCAGAGCCTACACACTTGCTGTTTCCTTTGCCTAGAACAGACAATGCATATTAGCTGCCTCTCGTCACGTAGGTCTCAGATCAAATGGTAATTCCACAGAGAAGTCATACCAAAGTGTCCTGCTCCATTAAATCTGACTCAAATACTCTCTTGTCCAGTACTCCATTTTCCTGTTTTTTCTTTTCAGTTTTTTATTATTATTTTGAGACAGGGTCTCACTCTGTCACCCAGGCTGGTATGCAGTGATGCAATCTCTGCTCACTGCAACCTTTGCCTTCTGGGTTCAAGCTATCCTTCCATCTCAGCCTCCCAAGTAGCTAAAACTAGAGACAAACACCACAATGCCTAGCTAATTTATATGTTTTTTTGTGGAGATGAGGTTTTGCCATATTGCCCAGGCTGATCTCAAACTCCTAGGCTCAAGCGATCCACCTGCCTCAGCCTCCCAAAGTGCTGGGATTACAAGCATGAGTCACTGTTTTATTTTCTTTTTTAGCACTTACTAGTCCCTAAAATTACCCTTTTAATATTTGTTTGTCTTTGTTGCCTGTCTTCTCATGTTTGAACCTAAGCTCCATGACACTGAGGAATTTTGTCTCATTCATATCAGCATCTCAAATGCCTAGAACAGTGCCTACATGAACAAATACGTGAGTTGTCACCCTGTGTGCTGTCTTAAAACAATTTGTGGTAGATACACATTTCCATGTACTTAATGGTAAATTGATTTCAGTGAAAATGGCTCAGAGGTAGAGGCTACAGAAATGTTTTTAAAAACTGAACAAATCATTAATTTAAATTTAGTTCCATCCAATGAGACCACAGGTTATAAAATATACCAATGAAAAAAATCTCAGTTCTTATAACAACTCTGTGAGATAGATATACTATCATAATCTCCATTTTATGGATGGGGACACTGAAAGAAAAGGTTAGATAAAGACTTATATAGGTTGATTTGGCTGAAGCTGCAAAGTTAGTAGGTGAGAATCAAAACCAGGCAGTTTAATTTCAGTCTATGGTTATACCCATTGTGCTGCATCACCTCATCTGCATTTAGCAGTGCAGAGTATATTCTCTCATTTACTTACCATGCAAATCTAGCATTATTATTTTACATATACTTTTACAACTAGTTTAGAATAAATTATAATGGACTTGGGGTTGAGTTCCAGGGTATATTATTAATCAATATAATCCTCAATCTAACTTCTTCATTCCTCAGTCCCCGAATATGTACAGTGAAGGCTTGGTTGAGTGTTATTAAAGATCAAATAATATTTTATTAATTGTTGTTAAGTTATGAGATCCCGGGCATCATACTGCTGGTAAATTTACCAAGAATGTATTTAGGAATATTTAATGTCTTACCTGGACTTTATTCATCTCCAGTTTGTTCTTCTCATTGGCACTCTGGTCTTGTTTGCTAGCTCCCTTTTTCTGAGGGCCTTTCCCAAAGAAGATGTAATTTACAAAGGCATACTCCAGCAGAGCCAGGAACACAAACACAAAGCAACCCATCAGATAAATATCAATCGCTTTGACATAAGGGATCTTTGGCAGGGTCTCCCTGAGGTGGGTGCTGATGGTTGTCATTGTAAGCACTGTCGTGATTCCTGTGAAAGAGAAAGACAATGCTTAATTAAGGGCGCCACTATTGAGTTCCTTTTACAAGACGGAGAGGGCAGATGCCATTTCCTTATGGTGTCTCTGAGTAATCACAGTAGCATGATAAACCACTGGGCAAAAAGGGCAGATATTTTGAAAGACAAGGCATCAGCCTCCCTACATAGTCCATTAATGAATCGTAAAACAGAATGTGTAGTTAATGAAGGGTTGAAAACATTTTTTTTTGTTTTTCATTAATTTTTATTTTTTATGGGAACATGATAAGTATATTTATGGGCTATATAAGAAATTTTGATATAGGCATGCAATGCATAATAATCACATAATGGAAAATGGGGTATCCATTCCCTTCAAGCATTCATCCCTTGTGTTACAAACAATCCACTTATACTCTTTTAGTTATTTTTCTTTTCTTTTTTTTTTATTGCATTTTAGGTTTTGGGGTACATGTGAAGAAGATGCAAGATTGTTGCATAGGTACACACATCACAGTGTGATTTGCTGCCTTCCTCCCCTTCACCTATATCTGGCATTTCTCCCCATGCTCTCTCTCCCCACCTCCCCACGCCCCCGTCCCTCCCCCATTTTGGTGGTTCACGCCTGTAATCCTAGCACTTTGGGAGGCTGAGGTGGGTGGATCATCTGAGGTTAGGAGTTCAAGAAAACATTTTTTTTTAATTGCACAAAATAAAAAGAAAAGCAGATGGAAAAGCAGATCAAAATCCCATTGAAATCCTACTGTTGAATGTCTCTCACTTTGTTACGTGGCCACATCTTCCTTCTTCCTTTTCACAGCATCTCATTCATTGTGCTCCTAAATCTGTCTTTGTGACACTAATCCCTATAGCAGCTCTTCCAAATTGAAAGCTGGTGACTAGTTTGAGATCTACTTCCTTCCATGAATCTACAGGATACCCAAGTTCAGTATTGAATTTGAAAATAATTGTCATTCATAGCAAAACATTACCAAAAGAAGAAACACGAGAAGTTTCATAATTTGTGTCAAGTACTTGATATATGTATATTTTACATTTGTTCTAGTCTTGTTGCTTCATTATTTCAAATATTCTCTATTTTCTTGGTTCTAGAATCTAGGACGAGTTAGTTCCCTGATGTCAGAAAACAACTTCTTAAAAATTGATCTTGGATTTGTTAAAGAATTTTAAGACTATAAGCTCATAAAAGGCAGATTTTGTTTTGTTTACTTTGTTAAATGTAGCATTCTTAATAGTATAATATTTGTGTGGCTGTATAGTAAACATTTTGTGTTGCTGATGGTGATGATGAAGTCATAATTGTGAAAAGCAAGAGTGAAAAAGAAGTTGGAACCTAGTGTAGACATTTGTGCTGCAATACTAATATTATACATTGGTATGGTGTTGTACAGTTTTAACACTTGCAGTTATAAATTATCCTTATATGGCTGTCATAACAACCTGAAAATGATAGGGAGTATATATTATTCTGATTTTATAACTGGGTAAACAGAAATTCTGAGATTGGTTATTTTGTTTTAGATTACCCAGCTAGGGTCAAAAAAGCACAGTGATGTTCCACAATAGCATTTAAAATAAGCAACGAGATGAAAAGGCAAAATCTAAAATTTGATAGCAACTCTTAAAAATAAAGTCAGAAAGTGTGAAGTGGATAGTAAAGACAAAGAAAAACTTCCAAAGGGAATGGAAGGTAGCAAACTGAAATGAAGGTAAAGAATAGTTTTGCATTCATTTGCTAATCAGATTATTCTAGACATATATTCCCAGTTTTGACTATTCAACTTTTAGAAGAGCAGGTAAAGTAGGAGGTCAGGACTGCCATACAAAAAATTAAAGTGGTTCAGATCAGTAATAAATTCTACTGTGCTGGACTGACATAAAATGACAAAATGAGTGGCCTTTCTCACTTCTTTGAAAAAAACCTTTAAATTTCACCTAATATAACTCTAGCTAATGTGCTTCACGGAAATGAATGAGTCACTTACAAAATCACCAATTGCATTTCTTCTTCTCCTTGTTTTACATTTTTAAGTGAAAAGTGTTAGTAAATGAATGCCATTTTAAATTATGTGTGTTTTAAAATATCTCAGGTTTTACAGTCCAAAGAATAGCTTAAACAAGCACCTTTATATGCTGACATCTTTAATATCTCCAATCAAAATAGTGTTAGCTTTGAGGATAGAAGAGTAAAGAGAACCACAATTCATACATTTACTAGTTATTATTCTCTGCTGTGGACATCATCCACTGTCTTTTCTTAAGTGTAGCATATAGACATAACAACATTCATGTTCAAGTAATATATGCAGGTACATATGTATGATACTATTATTTGTTTGCCTTCTTTAATCTTAGACTGTTCAAAGATTGATAAGCGGCTGAAAACACATTCTAACCTTCCAAGGAATCCTTAAAGTCTCAAATATAGGCCAGGTGCAGTGGCTCACGCTTGTAATCCCAGCACTTTGGGAGGCTGAGGCGGGTGGATCATGAGATCAAGAGATTGAGACCATCCTGGTCAACATGGTG